GGTGGCGAGGTATGCATATGACACAGGCATGTAGTTCCACTCAAACTGAAGATAGGACATGGAATTCTGTCCTGGGTTGGAGATGATTAAATGCCAAAACTAAATATCTCACCATATCCAGTCTGGGGCAGAATTCCATGTCATATCTTAAGTTATGAGTGGAACCAGTGTGTTTGGGACATCCATGTGTTTATTGCCAGTCTCATCTACAAATATCTGATATGCATGGCAATACTACACTGCTGGACCAATTTAAAGCATTTGCCAATACTTTGGCACCATTCTGTCACTAGAATGGTGGTAAGTTGTATCATTCATTACCACTGTTGCTGCATTGCACGTACACAACAAAATGTGGCGTCACCTGATAACAGATGGAAAGTGGGAGCTCATTTTTCTGATAGTAAGACTGACATATCACTATTGTAGTTAATTTTAACATATGCATTATTACATTGTGTTTCACACTTCCCTGGGAAGTAATTGTACATGATCATATGAATAGTGTAAATTTCTTCAACCTGATCAACAATTTAGTTGCTGGTTAAGTAGTGTAAACTGGTATGTTTGTGTGTGTTAACTGGCATACAAAATCATTCCTTTTCAAAGAATAGGAGGTTTTATGTCAGCTGCACAGTATTTTATTATTTTTGAAGGTATGCCATTTATAAATCTCATTGTACTTGAATATGAATACAGTGAATGCTTGTAGCTAACTGAATTAAATTGCAGACTAAATATCAACTAAATAGGATATTGAGGTTCTCATGGCAGTGAGTATGAAGATGGCTGTCTTCTGGGTTTTACTTCTGTGTGCTTGCTGCCTCCATCATGAGGACCCTGATTATGGAGACAGTAAGCTCCTCTGAAATGTCGGTATACTTCTACTAGACTATGTGACAGTGCAACCCAGAAGACAGCCATCTAACAGTGGCACAGCCTTATCAGTTGTACTGTTAACAGGACTACCGCTAGTGTAATAAGCAACCAGGTTATTGGCTTTTTTTACCCTTTAGGCTGGGCGCAGACCAATGTAGCAAAGCGCTTTTGCTGCAACGTGCTGAAACATGCTTTCGTATTGTTAAAGATAGGACTGGCGCACACCGATCGAGCAAAAAGCAAAAGCGCTTTTTAGCACGATGGAGCAGAATGAAGCAGAAAGCATTTTGCTCGTCTCACTTTCTCAGACCATTGCTCGCTCGTGAAGCAAGATGTAGCATTTTTCTGGTTTATTTAAACGAAAAAGGTGTGATTAGATGATATTTTAGTGCGCCTTCATCCAAATTTAAGTCATTTTATTAATTTTGGCAATTTTAAATGTATTAAATTGGTAAAGAGTGGCGACGCTCAGTCGTGTGAAAGTATCTCCTACCGACATTCCGTCTAACGGGAACGAGACGTAAACAAAGCTTTTGCGCTCGCAAAGGTCGTTACGCGGGGAAAACCTAAGCCCATTTATAATTTCTCCCAACAATACCACAATAGCATAGCAACATCCTCATCATCTTCAGCCATGACGACGACTGAGGTACAATGAGCAAAAATGCTTTTGCTTTGATTAGAAGCAAGATGTAGCAAATTGCTTTCAGTGGAAACAAGAACACTTCTGCATAGAGCACATGCGCTTTTGCCAAAAGCAGCTTTGCTACATTGATCTGCACCCAGCCTTAAGCTACAGGTGGGTTTCTGTATATTAAAATGTATTGCATCTATTATGACTTAAAAATGGATTTGGTTGGTATGCTGTACACTTGTATTTTGGAGTACCCTGTTCAAATCTGAGCCAAATTACTGGCTATTTTAATGTGAGTTTAAATCATTTCTCACATTCTTTTGCCAAGTGCAAGGATAATATCTTCAGATACATCATAGTTGCCTCCTTTCAAGTTCTTGCCATTCATTATCATTCCTCATCATTTAACACTATATAATCTGTGAAGTTCAAACTGTATCCTTTCATAACATGTGTAAGAATCAGTCTGTGAGTCATTATTTTAGTGCCACTGTGCACAGTCTGTATTTGTATTTTGTCAGGATAAGGTAAGATTTAAAGGAATACATGCCACATGGCAACAACATAAAAACAGGAAATATGAAAAGGAATTGAATGTATG